GCCAGAGTGGGTGGGGGGGGGGCACTGCGGCTTAGAGGCTAAGTGGCGTGCAGCCACACAGGAAGCTCCCGCCCCACGGCGCAGTCCAGAGCCCTCCCCTCACTCTCCGTCAGGAGCGCAGCCAGGTATGCAGGGGCCGCTCTGCCAGCACCGGCCGTCCCGCTCCATGGCTGCGCAGCCGTGCTCCTGGCGGCACCAAGTCGGGCCCACTCATGTGGGCTGGTCCCCGGTGCCAGGTGCCCACACGGTGACTCAGAGCTTACGACCACCATCCCACAGCCTGGAGGGGTCAGAGCCACTTGGATACACCTCAGCGGGGGGTGGAGCCCTGCGGCTGCTGGGAGAGCTCGCAGTGAGGTGGTGGGCTCCTGCAGGCAGCGTCCTTCCCTGAGAATCTGCTACAGCCTCAGCTCGCGAGGTCCCCACGGCCAACCTGGGGCATGTGCCCAGGACGGCTGATGGCTGCAGGGCACGACCAGCCTTGTCTGGGTTACCTGCCCGAGTCGCACAGCACACAGGCCTGGCGCTCCTCCCAGGTGAGGACCCTGCGGGCCGAGAGCCAGAGAAAGAGCGTGGAGCTGAGGGAGCTGCGAGGCCGAGGGACACAGAGGCAGCGGCGGAGCCAGCAGGAGGTGCTGAGGCTGCTGGGGCAGACGGCCGAGGTGGAGGCCGCCCAGGAGGCCACGCAGGAGGAGGTAGGGTGCCTGTGCCAGAGGGCCCTCGGCCTGGCTGGGGCTCCGCAGGGACGCCCGGGGCAGTCCTCGGGCCAGAGAGGACCTACCGCCCCCTTCCTCGCCCTCTCTCCGCACCCTACGGGCTGTCCACTCCCACCTCCCAGCACGACCTGTGCAGCTGGTCTGGGGAGGGTAACTCCGGCAGCCCGCGGCCACCGTGAAGTCCCTGTGAGGATTCCGAGCTGGGGAGGGGCCGGGTCCGGCCTAGACGAGCCTCAGTTCTAAGCAGGGGAGAGGCAGGGAGCCCCTGAGCTGGGGGGTTCTCAAGAGTCTCAGGGTCTGAGCTCCCCCTGCATCCACACCAGCATGTGCACGCCGCTATCTACACGCACCCCACACCAGCACCTGCGCCGCTATCTACACGCACCCCACGCCAGCACCTGCGCCGCTATCTACACGCACCCCCACGCCAGCACCTGCGCCGCTATCTACACGCACCCCACACCAGCACATTCAAGCCACTGCCTACACACCCCCTATGCCAGCATGTACATGCCGCTGCCTACATGCACCCCCATGCCAGCACGTGCACATCACATCTACACGCACCCCCACACCAGCACATGTATGTTGCTGTCTACACACACCCTCACACCAGAATGTGTATGTTGCTGTCTACACACACCCCCACATAACTGACCATGTGTGTTGCTGTCTACACGTACCCCCACAGAGGGCTGTGCTGCACATGGCCGGGACCTGGGACCCAGCCTAAACGGGCCTCCCGGAACCTCAGCCCTGGTCCTGGCACACAGTGGTTCATGCCATGCCCTCTGAGCACCCACCATGTCCCCACCCATGAAGGTCCTTAGACACCACGCAGAGAAGGAGGCAGTGGCCACGCCCTGCACCCAACCCTGGGCCCAGCTGGGGCCTGGCTGCCTCCTGCCTTCTCCCTCCCCGAGAGGTGGTTGTGTCCTGTTCCCGAGGGCTCCTCCTTTCTCCCACCCCGCCAACCTCCACGGTTCTGCCAGGACGACAGGACGACTCCTGTGTGTGGGTGGCCAGGCTGGCACCCAGCTGAGTGAGGCAGAGAACATGTGTGCCCGGGCCCAGGGCCACCTGGGGCAGCTGCAGAAGGCCCTGGCCAAGGCAGAGGAAGGTGCCCTCCACTCCCCGACCCACCCCAGGAGTGGCTGAGGGACCGCCACCGCAGGCTGGGTTCCCAGAGGCTACAGAGGGGCGGGCTTCCTGAGGAGGGTCTGTCTCGGAAACCCTCGAGGCCTCAGCCCACGGCCTCCTCTTGGGCCCTTCTGCTCTCGGGCTTCCCTTTGCCCTGGCTGCACCCCCAAAGCCGGTTTCCATCCCCACCCAGGACACTCCTCTTTACAGCAGGAGTTCGTCTGCTCGCTGCCCCACCCCACAGGAGGGTGGGCCCGGCCTGTTCTGGGAGTTGGAGGGGCTTCAAGCCCGGCCAGCACCCGCAAGCTGGCAGCAGGACAAGGGGGCACTGAGCAGCTCCCAGGCAGCATGGCCTTGCAAGATGACGCGTTCTGGAGGACAGAGACTGAGCGCCTGGACAGTGCAGGCCACGGGCCAGGAGAGGCGGGGGCTCCGGGTGGGGACGTGTGGCAGGCTGGGTACTCAGAACTCGAGTGGGCCTCTGGGGTACCCTCTAGGGAAGGTCAGAGGAGGACATGAGAGCTGGAGGCACTCGGGGCAGCAGGACAGGGCCAGTCCAGGTCAGGGGTGCAGGCGGGGCCGGAGCAGGCAGCCTTGGGGTTCCCGGCTGTTCCTGGGCCACGGTGCTGCCCTGAGATGCCCTAGCCCTCAGCTTCTGGACTGCGGAGACTGAGGACATAGCCAGGTGGGCTGCAGCCTCCTGGGCTCCTACTCGCTAGGCCAGCCTCGAGGCTTCCCTGGGGGTCACATGGCT